GGCCGTCCACTCTACATGGATGGCCGTCCATGGCCACTTTTTGCCATGGATCGCCGTCCACTTTGTCCAGACGGTCGTCCACCTTTTCCAGGCCCGGTTCCTTATAAATAGGAGCTCCCATTCTCCGAATTTTCACACCTTTTCACTCCTACCACTCTCTAGGAAGCCTTTTAGCACTTTAAAGTGACTCCGAGCATTATTCCGGGGTTCGAGTGAGCTTTCCGATTTCCGTTAAAGTTGAAATCGGTTAAGGAAGTCTCTTTTTGAGACGTCCGACCCTCGATAGAGTGACTTTTCTTTATTTTGCGGGAGGAGCGTGCTTGTAGAGTGCGGGGACTGCCAAAAAGCGTCCTCAAGTTTTTGAAGAGTTATTGTAAAGCTTGCTCCGGAGGTTCCTTCTCTATTCTCTGTCTCTTTTACCGATTTCTTTATCGCTTTCTTTGTGTGCATTAGATAGAATAATAGGGTAAAAGCATAATTTCTTTAAGTGTTTATTTTCTAAGTTAGTCCATCATAGGAAACCCGAAAGGGGCATTGTGGGATGCTAATACCTTCCCCACACGTAACTAACTCCCTTACCCGACTCTGGTTGTAATGGTCAAAGTTGATTTTTTTCTAAAACCACTGCCTTCTTCTTTTTCTTTTCCTTTTTCAGTGTTTAAGGTTAAAACACTAATGGCGACTCCTCGAACCTTTTTGAAAACTTCGCCTTTAGGTCCAGCTTGGTCATCGGATAGCCTAAAGGCATTGAACCACTTATTTCAAAAAACGCGAGTCATATCAAAATCATCGCGTTGCTCCGACCGCCTCTTCTGACGGCGGCGACACCTATCAGTTAAAAACCTGTTATGAAAGTGTTAAGAACATTTTAACTGATAAAGCTCATATAATATTCGTTAAAACAGTTTACTTAAAAGTCATTTAACAAATTACTTTGTTTTTAACAGTTTAAACACGTTTTAGAGGCATTTGCAAAATCTTTTAAATGAAGAAACCTCATGCAGCAGAGAGATAAGAATGATTATACCTAAGTATAGATGCAGACTCGCTAACCACTCTACCCTTTTATCCAAGTAACCTTTGACTACACCAGAATAGCCTTTGACTTCATTTTGACTTCATCAAATCAAGTAGATCTTTGTTTAATCAAATTATTCAATAAGATCTTCATCACTTTCATCTATGCCATTTCTTGGTTGTCAAGGTCTTGAAATCATCATAGATAACATAATATATTTTCTCTTCATGCATAACCAAGGAGGCAAATTGTAAATGATCAACAAAACTGGCCATGAACTATGTTTACAACTTAAATTTCCATAAGGATTCATCCCATCTGTAGCCAATCCAATTCTCAAATTTCTTGGCTCTGCACCAAATTCTGGAAAGGTTTCATCAATCCTTTTCCATTGTGAAAAATCAGTTGGATGCCAAAGAAGATTGTCGCATTTTCTACCATTAGCATGTCATGTCAAGTTTCTTGCATCTTCTTTTATGACAAATAATCTTTTAAACCTAGGTATTATTGGCAAATACCATAGCACCTTAGCAGGGGGGTCATCTAGTTCTTCCTCACCATTACTTCCCTCAACTTTGTTTTTGAACCTCGACAATCCACATGTCAGACACATCTTTAATGTAGCAAAATCATTTTTGTACAATATACAATCATTAGGACATGCATGTATCTTCTTGTATTGTAAACTCATTGGACATAATAGCTTCTTTGCCTCATAGTTACGAATAGGTAATGTATTATCTTCGGGAAGCATCTCCTTCAACAACTCCAATAACTCGGTGAAACTTTTATCAGTTCATTCATTTCTTGCTTTTAAAGTAAACAATCTTAAAGTTGCTGATAATCTTGTAAAACTACATCTTATGTATAATTGTTGCTCAAAATCAGATTTCAAAGAATCATATAGATGTGCTTTCATAAAATTTTCTTCACCAATATCATGTATCATATCCTCTAGATTATCATTCATCCCTTCGTCAAAATTGTCTGTAGTTGACATAGTTGGAATGTCTAATATTTCTCCATGTCATGTCCATATTGTATAACTCTTAATAATACCATAAACAAACAAGTGATCACGTATATCCTCAAGTTTATGACGAATTTGATTCAAACAACGAACACATGGACAATAATATGTCCTTTTCATAGTTTTTCCATTTTCACTAGCAAATTTCAAAAATTCATCAACTCCTTTTTCGTACTCTTTATTAATACGACGTGCATTCATCTAACTTCAATTCATATTATATTATAAAGTTTCGTCACTCCTAGAGATTCAAAATTTATATTTAAAAATAAATTAATATACAAACAACAAAGCTCGTAAATGGAGTGTGCAAACCGAAAATGCACTCAAACAAGATAATAGAATTTCAATAACAATCCAGTGGAGACATTCATACAATGACCTAATTGAGATCTCCAAAAATAATCATGGATTCAATTTGAACATATATCGGGAGACATAAAACACTAACCGCGAGTAAACACGAAAATGATTTCAAACTCGAATCCAATCGGGGAGAAATGTCAAATTCGCCAAATGAGACACAATGTTGATGTTTTTCACTGCCAAAATGATCGAAAATGGTATGGAAAGGTAGTTGTCGTCGTCGTTCTCAAAAACTCTTGTGGCGCGAGACGCAGTAATAGGTCCGGAAGAGAATAAAAATGGGTCCGAAAGAGAGTCTAGAACGCAAATAATAAATACTAATTTTTTTAAAATCCAAATGAAAATTATAAATATAAAATATATTAGAGAGTAAAAATATAATTATCAAATTAAGATAAAAATATAATAAAATAATTATTATTTTAAATTAACGTAATTAATATAAATTAAAAAATATATATTATATTTTTATTAAAAAAATTGATCTAAATATTTTTTTATATAAAATCGATTCCACCAAAAAAATTCAGTTAAATTTTTTTATTATTTCGATTTTTTTTAGTTTTGTTTAGTTATTTATTTACGATAGTCTGATTTCCATTTTAACCCGTTAAAATCACTGTCAGAATTTTAAAACAATGATAAATACTTTCCCCGTCAATTTAATGTTATTAGCATACTTCAGTACAGTTATGTAAATAGATCTGAAATTTTAAAAAAATCACATAAATACATAATAAATCAATATAAAGTAATTTATAATCTTAAAAAATTATGAGATCATGAAATGAAATTTTAATAAAATTTATAACTTCCCAATTACAATTTGATATACTAATAAAAGAAATCATTAATCTTAATTAATTAAAACCTTATTATTTTATTACGTTATATTTATTATGTATAACTCACAAGTATAAAATCATAACAAGCATAATATATAAAAATAAATATGAATTAGATTAATTCAAAATAATACTTAATAAATCTATATATAAATAATTTATAATATTAAAAAATAATAATGTAACAATTATATATAATAGAAGATATTTGTTCTCCTTCTATTATATGAATAATGGTTCGCAAACACTTTAACATATAAAACATTAATTTAAAAATAAATATTCAAACTTCTCAATTAACAGTCTCTTAAAGTGTTTTTTAATTAAATAAGTGTAAAATTAAAAAAATAATAAAGACTTAATGTTTATTTATTTAGTAATGAGCGATATAGAATTAGTTTTAAATATTAAATTCATCTTATGACTCTCATTATCTTTCTTCAATTCAACATTATTCTGTATGTTAAGTCACTTATTATTTTATTATGTAAGTTTGACTAAATCAAATAAATAATAATATTAATTTTTTAAAATGACATGTTACATTACAGTAATAATATAAATAATATTCAAATTGTAACTTCTAAAAGAAAATAATATTCAGATTGTATATCTTATATTTAAGAGAGAAAAAAATTCACTCACAATCATCTTAAATGATTAATTTTGTTGACTTTTATATGATTATCTTAAAGTTGGTGTGAAATCATTCTCATTAAAGAAAAGTGGGGTTGAAAGTTAAGAAAGATACAAATGAAAAGATGAATGATTGGAGAAGCTCCATTGAAACTTAATCATTACATACACACCAAATTTATGTATTTGAGTTCATTGTGAGTTTCATGCTGCCATTATGAATAATGTAGATTCGTGAAAGTCTATTCATAAAAAGTTTTCTTTCTCTAATTCAAATTTACTTTTGGATTAAAAATACTTTCTGTCTTGTGGTTTCTTAAATGTATAAATTTATTTTAAAAAAATACTATTTATTAAACCAAATGAATTTTTTTGAGTTAAAATTATTTTATAGATTAATTGAAAATGAAATTATATATATAAATTTTTAACAATTAAATCATGGATAAATAATTATATAGTTGACATTTTTTATTTTATCATAAAAATCTCAAGTCTTATATATCTTTTATATATATATATATATATATATATATATATATATATATATATATATATATATATATATATATATATGCACTTCCAATAATTTACTATTAACTATTTGTAAAGTTAAACAATCCGTTCTATCGTAACAGTATTATTAAACACTCGCTAATAGATTTGTAATTGTATACAATTGTATTAATAATATACTTTAAAATGTTTATAAGAATAATTAGCCATTTTTTTATATAATTAACCACCAATTCAATATGAGGAATACTCATTTTCCGAATCCGATATCGTTTTATAAATTGGGGCATGAATCTCCCAAATAAATCACAAGAACAAAGAAATAAGAAATGTAATAAAGTTCCAGTGGGGCTTCCTTTAATAATCCAACCTTAATTACTTATAAAAGCCACGAGCAAATTCCTCGAAATGCTGTAAGCTAAGCACAAACCAATATACCATAGTACAAAGGTGTCAGAGGATCATAACATGGTCAAGAAAGAAGCTATTTACATACAATGATACAATAATACAGTGAATCATCTAGATTTTTCTCCACCCACAAAATAAACTACTGAAAAGACAGTGAGTTTCATTTGTTGATCAGTGTCTAAGAACCATTAGCTGGAGGCGTTGAAGACTTCTTTCCCTGAATGTCCATCTCTTTTACACTATCACTCAGTGAAGATGATTCACACTTCTCCGCCGTATAACGTTCAGCATTATTATCCTCGTCATTTTCGTCCTCAACAAGAGAACCCTTCTGTCGCAGCTCTCTGACTTTAAGAAATTCATCATAGTGGGCCTTTCTATGTTCTTTAAATCTTAAGCTCCGATCTGTTTCAGAATCTAAACAATATTCCCAGCCCAGGAAAAACCAAGTTAGGTTACTAAAAGAATAGCCCATCTATCAATATAATACACATAACAGCAAATCAACCCATTAAATTGCTCTGAGAAAAAAGGGCAAAAGCAAGTTACATTTTCATCAAAATAGAACCACTTCCCTTCATGACGGAAACAAATGACAAGATTCCAATAATTTTTACTTTTTTCCCTATAAAATAAATCCCAACTCATCATCACACGATTTACTGAAATTTGAAACAGCATAATTGGATACTACAGCAGTCGTCTCCAAGTATAACATTTCACCCAGGCCCACACATCAAAAGTAGTTATCAAGTTTGGTAGAGCATGACCAATTAGCTATCGGTCACCATCAATGAAGAAAAAAAAGCCGTTCCGATCCAACACTGCCATCGATAGGCATATGAAATAATCAATACTGTCATGTTCAAGACAGAACTGGCTCATTCATAATATAAAAGCATTTCCAAAAGTTGGCTTCCATAACAATGTACAGTTAATCCATTTTAAGTTAATGAAACTGAAAATTTGTAGTCTTTTAATGGTTTGGTTCCAGAAAGATGTATGCTATACAAATTAGTCCATTGGGAGATGAAATTGTACGCTCATTGTGAATATAAGGTAAACTTCTTGTTAGAAAATTGACACTTTCGGAGAACAAGTTAAAAAAACATAAACTTTAAGAGATCAAAGTTACAGCACATGTTACCACTTTCCAGAACCACATGACATATTAGGTCACCCAATTTCTAATAACATTTAGTTCACATACATATTATCATATAGTTCCCGATGCAGAAATATTAGAAAAAATTATAGCAGTAACAAGTGACTTCATATTTATGTTTATGATGCTAAAACAAAAACAACACAAACTAAAAATACAAGCAGCATCAACCAAATCCATTTATAGTTCTATTTCATTATGTCTGTAAGAACACCTGATTAGAATATTATCTAGACAGGAATGCCATAATAAATGTCAGATAAAAAGGAAACAACCTCACATCTCTACCTTATAATCCTTACATGTTAAAATACGCAAATTAAGATAGCATTACAAAATCATTCAAAGATTTCAATCGTTTGAATTTGAATTAGAAATCAATCATGGAAACCAAAGTCCTCATAATGAAGAAGCACAAGCACCCATTAAGAGTAACAATCAAAATCAACGCAAAAACATAACAAGATCAATATGAAAAACAGCAAATGAAAGTCAAATAATAGTACAGTACCATCATCATCTTGCTCCATTGCTTCAGGCTCGTCCTCAGATGATGTCCAACCACCAGATTGCCCAGTACCTCTTCTGCTACTGGAGGCTACATCGTTCAGAGCAGTCCATATTGCTTCAGCATGCATTGTGCGATTTTCATCATCAATACATGCATCAAAACTTCCTCGTATAGGTGATAAAGAACCTAAAAAACAGGCTATTTCAGAAAAAATGTTGCTGCACCATTGGCTTTTAAACTAAAGCACAAGAGAAAGCCTAAGACTACTATATATATGCTTTACATGTACAACCCAAACCTTGTTGAGGCCCAACTAAATGTTTAAATTTAACTATGAAATGAAACCTTTTCAAAATACGGAATATCCAGTACTGGAAGAATAAAAGCAAGATAGTTTACAAAACATAGATACCTCTTAAAATAAAATTAGGAAATCATTTGTATAAAAGGCATTACATGCAGACTTAATAAATAGAAACATGAAGTTTAAGTGATCTTTTCCGTACTATCATCATCAATCATAGGATGATATGGAGTCTTGGGCTCAGTAATTTTCTGCCTCACAGGTTTGTTTGCCTCAATTTCTCCAATATTAGCCTCATCCCACCTTACACGTCCTCTAAACAAGATACCAAAAGCAAAATTGATAACAATAAGAATGGGTTAGATGATGATGAGCTTGAAAGAAGGACTGTATACAGATAAGAATATCATTGGAATTCTTCCAAATACATCTTCTCAGTAGATAAAGGGTGGATTTACAAATACTCCATTAACCATTTTCATTTTTCAACCAATAAGCATACATTCACTCAACAGGCATGCAATGTTTATTTAGAATTTCAAGTGTGATCAAGAAGATTCTAACTTCTTAGACAATAAAAAAGAAATTGAACACACAAATGCCAGTCTCTTTCTTTGTTTAATTTGATGCTAGTTTGAACACACAAATGCCAGTCTCTTTCTTTGTTTATCTACCATTCCCTTTACATTGCCTTTAAATAGGCTTTCTCAGTAGGTAAAAAGAAAACTAGAGATAGTTAATGGGAAATTTTCTGTCGTGCAAGAGAGTTTTTTGGTTAATCAGAGTTCTATTTTTGAAAGAAAAAAGAAAAGAGAGATGTAGATATGGATAACTTGGTAGAACTTGGTGATTCATATACAAAATATACACTGACTTGTAACCTTCGCTTAAGATAATGGCTTTGGTACAAGACTCAAATTTTGCATCATAATTTAGGCAATAGTTTCTATTTGTCAGAGATAATCATAAGCCTCCACCTAATATTGTTGTTTAAACAGTAACACTCCCAAGAATATGAAAATTAAACATAAAGGATCAGTGGCTAGTACAGAATGGCACTTAGCAAATTTCTCGTGTTTGCAATAGTTTATAATGCCATTAGTTTTCTGTAGTTGGTTATTCTGTTACTATGAATAGTATCATAACAAACCAAAATTACTTGAGAAAGTTTATAGGTTCTTTTCATTTGTCATCTAGATTCCTGCTAATGGGTTTTCCAAGCAAAATTGTGTAAGTGACATTGAAGATATTGGAATTTGAAATGAAAGGTCGTCTTGTCTCCTGTTTGAATTTCCATCCTTCTCTCTATGGATGTTGTTAACAATGGGTACCTTCACCATCAAATTATCCTTAACAGAACGAATAAGGAAGAAAGCCTCTCAGCATACTGATGCCTTCCAATTGGGCAGTTGCATCTATCACAACAATATAAATCAACAATGTGGTTATTATGATACAGCTGAAGCCATTTTGGTTGCCTCATTATACCAACAATCAGGTGAAATACTGGATTAGAAATAGATTTCTTTTGATAATTCCCAAAGAAGATAAACCTTCCAGGAACCTGAAGCTCTCCCCTCTAATGAAATCCTAAAATACAGCTACCCCTTACTCTAGGTTTCGCCTCTTTTCAATAACAATTTCCCCTATCTAAGTTACCAAAATATAGTTACTATTCTGTAACATTGAATACTGCCCATTGATTCCCTGCTGTCCAATCTTTTCCTCGTCCTATAGACATTATTTATTGGAGGCACTATCACAATCGTACCAAACATCAAAATGGCATCATAATTAATCATCTGAACTGAGGCACTGTCCCCAAAGAGCACCTTTTATCTTGAAAATAATATGCATAAAAATAGGCTTAGGACATACAGGAACCACTATTAACAACCCAATCACAAACATCTGTCACCCAAAGTGGCTTCTAAACAACTCTAACACCTGGGGACCAACCCTGACTAATTCTGAATCTCCCTAACAGCATATCAGCCCAGTCCAGGCTTCACAATGAACAAAACATTATTTATGAACCTTAGACTTTCTGTTTATTCAAAATTCAACACCAAGAATGATTTTGAAACGTTATACAATCTCATTCTAACTTAACATAGGCAGTGTTTGGTTTGAAATTGGGAAGTCATTCCCTGCATGGCAAAGAAGAAAACATGAAAGGAAAATATTTGAATTGGGCTAAACATCCCTTAGCTGTATTCTAACAAAATGAAACACACACTATTGAACCAAAAAGTGTTTCTCTCCTCCAATCTCATGAATAAATGTTCCAGGGAAAAGGATAAGTTCCCTAGTATTGTTAACCCTAAGAAAAGGATAAGTTCCCACAAAATATGCTACAAGGTAATATAGTCTACCTTCTTACTTTTCATTTATGATGTGTTGCCTTGAATATATCCAGGCTTCTTATTGTATCAACCAAAAAATAAAGTGGAAAGCACAAAAATACAGAGGAAAGAAATAGAACTATTTGAATATTGTGTTTATGAATATCTGTAAACAATAAATATGAGAATGGCATAATTTACCCCAAGCCAGAGACTCCCTAAGTCCGCGACTGAATTTGCACCATAAAACGTAAACCCACCTCCTCCCCCATTCCTTTATAACAAACTTGGCTAATTATCTCTCTCTATAACAAACTTATCATTCCCTCTACTGTAGTTTCCCACAAATACCACTCATCTAGACTTTTCGGCACCTGGGCCTTCGTGTGTACACCCTTAAGGACCTTAGAGAGCCGCTAGAGATCATTAGGTCAAAATTCTTGTGACATATTCCACAATTAAGCCTACAAATTTTAACCCATTAGAAAGTACTATTGTCCTCGTACAACTTCACTAATTAGATTATATTATCCCAGGGAAATAATATGCAATATAAGCATTCGGTGAGATTAAGAATTTTTTTGTCACAAGTTATATAAGCAAATTAATAAATAGATTTTTGCTTGCATTACTTCATTTTGGTAGACGGATTAGCTCTTCAAACACCAAAAGTATGCCAGGAATCCTCAAGTCGCTTGATCAACTGGGAAAAGCATATAAGGATTATGCAGTAAGTTATTGAGTTTCAAGAACACAAATAATTAAAGGGGAATAGAATCAGTGGAGAAATATCAAAGAGTGGAAAACCTAAATAGAAACACTATCCTAGACAAGTTAAAGAATGTCAAAGGAACTACAAACACAATAAATTGAGAGAAATAGACGTGAACTAAGAATTTGATGAAGAAGCAAAGGAAAACACTCCACAACAAATCAAAACAAATTTTTTGTCTTCGCAATGACTATTCATACTTAATCAAGGCAGGCTATACAATGTTTTGATTAATTACAACATTATTAAGGACAAGATAACATATTAGTCCACCAGCTATTAGAATTTAAAAAATAGTAATGTGAGCAAAATTAGAAATGTCAAATTGCATAATGTAAAGACTGAAACGGAACTCTGAAGCTGAAAGGTAATGGGACCATGAGAGTAGATACATCCACCCATAAGTTCCACTGTATCCTTGTTTCCAACATCCAATGATCATAATTATGTTCATACTCTTGAGTTTGAATACATACAAAGCAGAAACTAAAGTTTATCATCAACCAGATGCTTGTTAATTTGCAAATCCATAACACCGTTATCTAAGATATATTTCTAAGTATGTGACGAAATTACCACCACCTCATATCTTTTGATGTTTTAGCCTTCTATTTTTATTCCAAGCCAATTGATGTGTTAAAATTTCATATTCTAATTAGTGTTTGTTTCTCAAATTTACCCTAATGTTATTTAATATCTCATTACTAGCGGTGCGGGCATAAAAAATCAAGGCATTCAATAAGAACATTTTACTCCAAATATAAATTTTACTTCCATTAAATATTTATTAATCTAATTGCATTAACCTTGAACACGACAAGACATGGGAAGGAGGTAGTAATATATTTCACTACCACAATGCCACCATTGAAAGGTCCTATTTGACACTCAAAACCTAAACCTGGGGGATAATATGCGATTAACAAGTCCCTTAAAAGCAAACCTACAAAAACACAACCATAAAACAAAAAGAAATTTCATCACGCAGTAAGAAATGAGAAATACAGAAAAAACAGTCCGAGTTTTTCGAAGAACGCCAATTTCATTTACAATCAAAAAATTCAAAACCCTTTCACAACCAAATTGAACATCCACAAATTAAAGCGATAAGACTTCACCGACTAACAGTATTATTTTTTTACTGAATTCTTTAAGGAATAATAAAAGGAGAGAAAACGAATCCCCACCAAACTAAACCTCGGAAAAACTCTGTTTGAAAACTGTGTGTTGAAATTAATGAAGCTGCGAGCGAGTAACAGAGTCTACCCAAGCCAACAACAGACAAACGGAAAGAAAATGTAACGAGAAAATTCATTTTTGGGGAAAAAACAGCGAGTCAAAGAGAGTGGTACCTTGGAGAAGCGAGGAGAGGAATTGCAGCGGTAGACTGTGCGCAGTTGCAAAGTGCTTTTTAACAAAACCGTGTTTTCTCTAACAAACAAAGCATCCAATTTTTTCACTTTTTCGATGGTGAAATTATCGATATTGCCCCTTTTTATTTTTCCCGGTAACAAAAAGCGCACCTTTTTTTTTTACTTTGTTAAAAAATAATTCGTTTTTTTCAATATATTCAAAATACCAATTTCTTATGCTTAATAAAATTTTATAGATTTGTTTGTGAATATGTAATTTTAATTTTTAAAACTTAATTATACATTTTAGTTTTAAGTTTATTAAAATTAAAATCATTCTAATATATTGCTCATGTGTTATTTAATTTATAAAAATGTATATTAAAATATTAATAATAATAGTCATTTTTGACATATGTTAGTATTTAAAATACATTATTATTTTGTTTAATAATTAAATAATATTAAATTAAAAGCACTTAATTTTTTAAAATTGAGGACAAAATATGCTTTCACTTTTTTTGTCAAAAATAATATTGTTAAGTTTATGGAAATAAAGAACGAAAACTAAATCAAATTTATAAAACACACATATAAAATTTTATTTTTAATTCATGAAAAACATTAAAAAATATATAAAAAATCATTTTAAATTCATTAGAAACATTTTTTTGTTATTCATTTAAAACAATTATTTACTTTTGTTTTAAAATTTCATTTTTACAAAATGAGACATTTTTCTTTGTTTCGTATATTCCATACAAACATATACCGTAAATGTTTAAGGAATTCTTAAAACGAAAACTGCTTTTATTCATTAAAAAAATATATTCAGAAAAGAATAGTTTATATGTTATTACTTTTTATTTATCTTAATATTAAAATTACTCGACTAAAGTTTGTATTAAACACATGAAAAATAAATCTATAATATATATATATATATATATATATATATATATATATATATATATATATATATATATATATATATATACGTTAACGTAACTTGCACAAATGCATTTAAGATTTATAGTTGGCGTAAGAATCAAGAAAAGTGGCGTAAGAATTAAGAAAGCTCTATCATAAAATAACAGCATATTTGTTATATTTTTATTCCGGGTATTTTTTAAAGATAAATAGTATACATAATTATAAAAAATAAGTGAAATAACTTTTTTATTTCTTATTTTTCTTTTATTATCCTTGTTCTTTATTTTCAAGTGAGTTGATTTTAATTCTTTGTTAATATTATTAATTGACTTTATTCACTCAGTTATATTTATGAATATAATGCTAATTTATATATCAATATATTATTTAAGATACATGTATTGATATTAACTTACTTGAAAAAAATATTAAAATAAGAATAAGGTAAAAAAACATAAAATGAAAAAGTTATTAAACTTAAAAATTCAAAATAAATAAATAAAATTTGGATAAAGTTTTTTTTTATTATTTTACTATATAATAATTACTCTCATACGAATATATTTGTCTAATGAGAAATAAAATATAAGGTTATTTTTAAAGTTTATATAAACCGTGAACTTTTTATTTTTTTTCTTCTACTTAAAGATATTATTTACACAGACAATTTTAATTAAAGTAAATATAAATATTACTTAATATATATTTAGGTTTTTAAAATTTAATAAAGAAAAATAAAATTATCTTTATAAAAAGTTTTTGATTTTTTATTGGGTTTTAAGAGAATCACATTCGCATGAAATTTTTTTGGGATGATGACAATCAACTAAGATTGTATGATAAATAAATTAATTTTAAAAAGATTAACATAATTAAAATACTAACTATTTAATGTATAAAACTAAATATGCATATTTTTAATAACCACTCCTTTATAATTATATATATATGAACTGATTCGATATTTGATTTGATCATTATTTTTAATAACTCTAAATTAAGGACTAAAAAATTAATCCATGATATTGGTTGGTTACTAAATCTATCATTATTTATTATTTTTCTTATAGCGAAATGGTGGAGTGGAATAATGTAATTTCAGACACATAAATATTAATGAATATTTAGATAGTTAATTTTTTAAAAAATATCTTATTAATTTCTCTAATGATTAAAAATGATTCTGTAAAATAAAAAAATATGATGTATAATATATATATATATATATATATATATATATATAGTATAAAAGGGAAAGTATATTTAAATATCTTAACTTATTTTATTTATTGTGTTTCATGTGTTCTTTTACATAATAGATGATATTGTAAAATGAATGATATTTTTAATAACATTGATATATGTAATATTGTTGTATTATAAGTTACCTGGTTATTTATAGTTTTTTTTTTTTTAACATGATCATTAGAATAGAGTAAACAACAAAAGAGCACCATAGAAAAAAAAGTTGATTTGGAAGGGAAGAAAAAATATCATAAAATAAGAAAATAAATATATTTTTTTATATTCATATTTTTTTATTTTTAGATATATCTAATTTTTTTCTTTCTTTGTTTATTTATTTATTTTATTATTATTATTATTATTTTCTTTAGTAACACTGTATTTATAAAAAAGGAAATTTTTTATTAATTACTTTATTCTTTTTTATATATCTCAAGTTAATTTTTTCCTCATTATATATAATATTTTATTTTCTCTACAATAACACACACACAAAATAAAAAATAATCCCTATATATAATATATAATATATATTTCATAATCCAATAGAAAGAATTTTAATGTTATTTTTAAAAAATATAATCAAATTATAATATAATAATTAATTATGACTATTTTTTATAATTTCATTTTATTAATAATAAAAAAGTACTAATGATAAATAATAATGAATTATTTTATTTTATTTTTCATTTACTTTTACTTAAAGTTATTTTTTTACTCTCTTATTTATTTGTCTCTAATCAAAACTATCTCTTTTCTACTTTCTTTCTTTTTTTTCACTACATCTATTTTTTCTTTATCTTTCAAAGAAAAGCTTACAAAAAAACAAACCTTTGTCTTAGAAAAATAATATATATATATATATATATATATATATATATATATATATATATATATATATATATATATAATCAAATCCAACACGCGCATCCTCGTGAGAAGAAAATACCGTCCTAAAATAAACTCCCGTCGTTCTACCGATTCAAAGCCCAAAGAAAATCGCTTTCAGGATTCAAGGCGAAAATTGAAGTGCCATTGGGTAAGGGGTGGAGTTTGTTTGTTTGGAGAATCAGTAATGATCGAATCCCCAATTACCGAACAAGGTATTTGTACTCTCTATTGCCTTACTTCATTCATTCAATATGGAACTTCCTCAATAATTTTGGAAAGTATTTATTCAATCATTCTAAAAGGGTCAAACCCAAAATTTCGTTTCTTATTGGAAATGAAAAATGGAAATAATTTTGTACTTTACTTCTAAAAGGTTTTATTTTTTCATTAGATCCTATCCAAGTATTGGCCTTTTGGCAGTTGTTATCATTTTTCGTTGACAATTTTTTGTGTAATTGTGATAAGTAAATCATAATATGTTTGAATTTCTTAAATCAGGCGTGGTTGAAGGAAAAGGGGTATAGGGGAATTGAAGTTGAAGAGGAAAAAAGAAAAATGCAGAGTGACGGAGATAGAAAAGAGGACAAGGACAGGCTCAGTTACATGCCTGACTTGGTTTTACTTCATATAATGAAATTTATGAGCATGAAAGAGGCTGTTCAGACTTGTGTCTTGTCTTCAAGATGGAAGGAACTGTGGAAACACCTAACTGATTTGGCTTTGAATTCCTCAGATTTTACCAATCTTACACATTTCAGCAAATTTGTATCTTGGGTTATATCGAATCGAGACAGCTCCATTTCACTGCATAGTCTAGATTTGAGGCGTAAAGGCTGCATTGATCATGAACTTCTAAATACTGTCATGGGTTATGCTGTGTCACATGATGTCCAGCAGTTGACAATTGAAGTTAATTTAAGTGTTAAACTTGGTTTTAGGTTGCATCCTAGTGTCTTTTCTTGTAAATCTTTGACATATCTTAAGCTTTCCATTTGGGCTGTACCTTGGATGACACAATTTCCAGGTTCCTTGGAGTTGCCAGCATTGAAAACCTTGCATCTTGAGCATATCACTTTCACTGCAAGTGAAAATGACTCTGCTGAACCCTTTTCAACTTGTCACATGTTGGATACTTTGGTCCTTGACCGTTTTAACTTGCATCAAGGTGTGAAATTCCTCTGTATATGTAATTCCAACCTTTCTAGTTTGACCATTGGTAGTACCATTCAAGAAGCACCTTACAAATGTGTGCTTTCTACTCCAAATCTTAGATCTCTCGCTGTGATGCGTGATCCTCTTCACCAACTCTCTGCTTGCAAACTTTGTTTTCTCGAACAAGTAAGCATTGATTGTGAAGCCTATTTTCATACTCATTTCGAACGGACACATTCAGCCCTTATAAATTTGCTGAAAGTGCTTGCTGATTATGTAAAGATAATGATACTCTCTTCAAGTACCCTTCAGATTCTTCATGTAAGTGACGTTATTTTGTTTTTCCATTGTATTTTACTTTTCATATTGCTCATGATATGTCCCATATGCCAACTTTCTATCCATTACTCAATCTTACCTTTCAAATTATCTTTCAAAATATGTCTCCAATCAACTCTCATTGTGCAGGGTCTCTCAACTTCCGGTTCAATGATAACTCAAATTCCTTATTTTGCTCAATTAAGGTCTTTGAAATTGAAAATGAAATCTTCGTCAAACATATCTGATGAGGTAGTTAGCCTGATAGTAGAATGCTTACTTCAAAAATCTCCAGTGGCCAAAGTTGATTTTATAAATTGCTGAGAGTGATATCCATGCACACTTAAATCTTCAGGTAGTGTGTTTTACATATTGTTCATTTTATGTTTCCTTCTCTTCGTGATACTCACGTAGTCTTTTCTCAATTCTCAGAGCTCCTTCTTTATCCCCCCGTTTTAGCCTTTTTTTATTTGGCTTTGGCAGACACAATTTTCAAGTACCTGTTACGATGGCGAGCGATTTTTATGATGCATACTTTGCTCACTCGTATATCTCAAATATCTTTCCTGTTTTCCTTATGCTAAGGCTGGGGTAAAATAATTTCGTATATTGTTTTATCCATTAAGAATTTGTGGGTGGATGAGACAATGTCTGATTTTCCTTGAATCATGGCTATTCAGAGGTAATAATAAATTGATAATGCATGAGGAAAAAAGGCCTTTGTTTGCGTGCTTTTTAAATTACAACTAATATCATTAAATTTGAACTGTCTTCGAAAGTTTTGTTATATTTATTGTAATTTTAATGATCCTTGGATAAAAGGGGAAAAAGATCAAAGTATGCTGATGAATATAAAGTTTCTTTGTTTGCTGGTCTATATGCTGCATCATTGTTTAGTTTTATTTGATGAAACTGGATTAAATAGTGTTTTTCTGTCATTCAGGCTAGAATATTTCTGGACATAGTTATGTTCTCGCATCTCAGTATTTTAAGTTTACTTTCAAGGAAGATCTACATACAATTATTTGGAAAGCATTTCAATAAGATCTAGGGGGAATTATGCAAAATGGAAAACAAAACAAGGAAAGTTCTGTTATATAAATTTATTATGATATTCTAAAACCCCGTACAGTTTCATGGATTATTTATCACAATTTTTTATTAGACAGTTGGTAAAAAGAAGAATAATATGCTTTTTTTTGGTTAAACAGTATGAGTCAACTATGACCAGTAGCAAGTGTGAGTTTGGATTTCAGCTTTTAGGTGGTGTTTTTTTTTTCTGATGTCTATTGTCATTCTTGGCTGCTATATTTTCACAAATAATTTTCAAAAATACCTCCTTATTTCCACTTTGTTATAGGTTTCAGGATTTCTGAAAAGGAATGGTGTTAATAACAAAATTTTGTCTTTCATCTTTTCTTTTGCAAAATTTACCGAGAAAATAGTTTTGTTTTCATATTTGGGGACGCTAAATCCCAGTTTGAACAGAGAATAATGATGCTAACAACTGAAGTTTGATGTTTCGAACCATGGAAGGAAACTACCGAGTTTGTCATGCGTAATTGATTTAACTTCGATTTTATTGTGTCTGCATTTCCTATGTGATCATCAAATTATTCATATACCATGTGACTGGAAAAAGTACTTTGGAAAGTCCATCACAGGCACCCTATGAGGCATGATTATTTCAGAGTCTAAATATGACTTAATAATGCTATTTTCTGTTTCATACATAATGAATTTAGACTCCTACATGATATGGTGGATGATATTAAACTGATATTCTGAGCAGAAAATCTCACACTGTGATCTGTTGAAAAGAACCATATGCTAATGCTATTTTTTCTATTTCTACCCTTCTAGGTTGCTATTCTATACAAGTATTTGCTATGTAATCGTGCCTTGTAAGAAGGTGTTGCCAAAAAAAATAGTAGATTTAAGCAACAAACTATGTAAATCTTGGCAGAGACATGGAATTGATTCATGCCATGACTAAAATGCTTGAGCATCAATTATGGTTTAGTTTTCACTACTTTTTACTAAAAAAATTCTCTCATAAACCATACATTTTGTAGCCATATCTTCTTACATAGTTGGAATCATTCTTTTTTTCCATTCAAAACACGGACATAAGGTACTCTTACTGAGCTCTTAGACTAACTTTTTTGTTCTTTTGTTTTCCAGTGATATCAAAATATCTTAGTAAGGATAACACAGATTCTGACCATCATAATTGAAGTTGATTACGGCTGTATCCATGCAATCTGTGATTTCTTCTATACCTCAGACTGTTAGAATGCTTTTCTAAGGTTTATTAGCTATTGGATCTTTGGATGAAAGGATATGTTAATGATACTATTAATAGCCATTGATAGTGCAATTGCAATTTCTGTCCCTCTTTCTCCTTTTGAATGTAAATAGATGAGCCAAAATCCTTTATAATTTACTGCTTCCTTGTAGTCAGTGTTTATGCCTTCAGGAGGGTGTGGTGGTAGTGGTTATAGCTTTATGGAATGGAAATTATGTGCATCATGCCTCTACCAATGTTTAAATGTAACTGAGTTACTATATGTTTTGTCGAATGAACTCATGTCTATGTTTATGTCTTATCAATAATTTCTCGGTAACTTACTAAATGCAAGTCATGAGTTTGTTTAATATGGGTATATTTATCATGTTCCATCACTTGCTGAGAACTATATGTGATTAACGATTAAGGATGAGTTTTTTTTTTTTTTTTGCTTTTACTTTTGGGGAATCTTAAAATTGATTTAAGATCTTATTTTTATACAAGTCACTACACATTATAATATATTATACAAAATTGTTGGGAATAAAATTTGTAACATTATAATATTATACTATGAAATATCAATCATAATTCCATTTTTTTCTCCAGGTTTTATGTCAAATTAATTGGGTTTTAAATCAATATATTTATATTGTAGTGCACAAAATCATTGTTTCTAATTCATAATTCCTAATTCAAATTTTTACAATTCCTTATGTTACAAATTTTAATTTGACTAACATTCAAATGGGTCATGTTACAACTTTTAATCACTTTATTAAAACTAAGAGAGACTAATCTTTTATTTTATTTTATTTCAAGGACAAAAACAATTTTATTCAAAATTCAATGACTTAAAAAATAAGTAAGTCTAATATTTTTGTTCTAATTAGGTAGGAACTTGCACTTTAAATTGATTAAAATATTATTTTCAATAATTGTATTTAATTTTTTTAATTAATTTGTATTCTCTCATTTATTATACTTTATGAAAATCTTAGTTTACATATAAAATAAGTTACATAGCTAAATGCACATAAGAATCAATCAATACTTAAAAATGTTATACTATATAACTTATGTTTAAAATAAGTAAATAAATAATTGTAAAATAATTTTTACATTAATTTAAGAAAATATACAGAAACAATGCTTATATCGTTAATTAAAACAAATTTAAATACTAATAAAAAAATTGAGCTTCCTATGTTAGTCTTATTAATGAAAATACTGGAATTAAAACGTGGTGAATCTATTTGCTGTAAAAAAACAATAATTTCGTTTACATATTAATTTTTTAAGGAAGTATTTTACTTGAAATTACCAGAAATTATTGACCTCTTAATTTATTGTGGAGTTTTTTAGCTGTTAAGATTTTTCTTAGATATTCGTTAATAAGTCAAACAACTAATTAATACTTTAAGATAATATTATAATTATGATATTATTTTATGTTGTCAATAAATTGTTTAAATTATCAAGTAAAAAAATTATATGTATATATTTAAAAATAATTATTTCATAATTATTTTTTAAGCATAATTACTAAATAAGTAAACATATTAATAAAATAATAATATTTATTATAATATTAAAATTTCTAGTTACATTATAACAAGTTATCTTCACTTTCTATATTTCTTTTTCAAGCAACAATAATTTCAGAATAACATCAAAAAACAATAATTTTTCACTCTTAATTTAATTATCGCATTCAAATGATCATTGACTTTAAAGTTTGGAATCAATCATATTCTCAGTTATTATCTGTTTTAAAAAAATATATAAAGGGAATTTTAAGGTTGAATGATTCAATTTTAGTATATTAATTAAATAATATATAATATTTTTAAATAAATATAATATCATAATTTTACAAATTATAATAAATGTATTTTAAATAAAATGTACCGTGATAGTTATATTAATTAATTAATAATAATAATATTCGAATAAAATGTATATTCAAAATAAAAAATAGTATGAAAGTAAAACATAAAAAATATAAGTAGATTTAAATGACTAAATTATATGTTTGATAATAAAACACAATTGATAAAATGATTCTATAAACTATTAAAATATTAATAAATAAAATTTGTTATTTTAAAATTTTTAAATTAATTTAAAAAAAACATTATTTTAAAATCCCCGATTCAAGGCACTAGATTTGTATCAATTGGTTTTTAACCTATTCAACTAATTTTCTTATATATTTTTTACCTGTTCTTGAAAAAAATCAGTTTTGTATGCTAAATGTACCCATTTTTTCTTTGATAGGTGAAATCAGTTGATTTGATTTTCAAAACTATGATGAGAATCTAAACTGAATAAAAGTTATTTCTTTGAAAAAAAAATTAAAAAATTGAATCTAGGCGGAATAAATTATCTTTAAAAAAAACACAGTGAGAATGTAAACAGAAAAATCATCTGTCAAAAAAAATTAAAATGAACATCTAAACTGAAGATTTAAACTCTCTCAAATACCTCAATAATCTCTATTATCTTTTATCATATTAAAAAAAAAAAAAAACACTTCGGGTTTCCTCTCCAAAATCAGAATAGTGAGTCTATAAATAACCTAAACAGGGAGATCTAGATATTGTATGTTGTATTTCCTGAATCTAACACCTTTTTTCCTCGTCCATGGAACCAGAATGGAAGAGTCGTCAGAACAACCTATGGAAGAGTCGACAGAACAACCTATGGAAGAGTCGACAGATCAAATTATGGAAGAGTCGAAGGAAGAAACAATCATGACACAGATAGCGGGAACAGATGGAGAAGATGGAAGAGACAGGCTGCTTGAGTTGCATGATTCTGTTCTTTTCCACATAATCCAATTCATGAGCACAAAAACAGCAGTTCGAGCCTCTCTCTTATCCAGTAGATGGAAGAACCTTTGGAAATGTCTCGATACTCTCCGTTTCAGACGCCGCGACTTCGAAACCATCTCCAAGTACAGCAAATTTATCTCGTACGTTGTCTCCAACAGAGACACTTCTATTCCTTTGCGTCACCTTGATTTGGATGCATGCTGTGTCACAGCACAAGTGTTTCTGGCCGACGTCACCCCAGATCTGTATCGTATGCAGCATTTGAGAATCTTTTTCGATGGTAAACCCAGATCCAGCTTTTATGGTTCCCTCCCTTTCATCTTCTCTTCACCCGCTCTCAAATCTCTCACTCTTTCAATCTTTCTTCATCGTCATGTCTTAATACTTCCACAAACTCTACATCTTCCCGCCCTCGAAACCTTGTATCTCGCCAATGTCTCTTTCATGGCAAGCGAGGATGATGATGATGACTTCACATGCGCTGAACCCTTTTCAAACTGTGTCTCGTTGAACAGTTTGGAGCTTGTGGGGTGTTCTTTGAGCGGCGATGCCAAAGTCCTCAACATATCAAATTCCAACCTTTCTCGTTTCACCATGAAAAGATACGACGAAAAGCATTACAATGTTGTGATGTCCACTCCGAATCTGATCTCTTTCTCTATCAAAAGCTGTATAAGCTGTCATGATTTCTCCTCCCCGTATGATCTTTCACTTCTTTCAGATGCAAACATTAACATCACTTCTGGTGCAATTCATGCAATCATTCTAAGGTGTCTGCAAATGTTCTCTTATGTAAGGAGATTGACACTCTCTAGGAATGTCCAGGCAGCAATACTAAGAGTGAGTTACTAACTTCCTATGTTTTCTTCTTCTCTTGTTTGCATTCTTATGTCAATTTTTTTTTATAATCATAATCATCTTAATTACATTGCATACTATCCATCAAAATATGTGCTCAGTTTACTCTGATTGTGTAGGGTGTGTCAGCAAATGCGAGAACTCTACTTCCACGCTTTTATAGATTGAAGACATTGAAGGCGCAAAAGATTGAAAATTCAGAAATATTCATGAAGTACTTACTTCAGAACTCTCAACTAACCAATGTTGAGGTCATAAGTTTTTGAAAGCTAGGTGATTATATCCTCTATTCCATGCTTAACTTTTAGGTGAATAAATACTTTTACAAATATGAATTTTGATTCATTTTATATTTTCCTTCCTTGAACAAATTATTGGGTGTGTTACAATTTGTTTGTCTTGCTCACATGGTTTATTTTTAGGTGTTCTGATATTTAACTTGTAAAATGATATTTATTTTGAAGAGACAGTGTATATATATATTTCTCTGCACTTTTGTCACAATGACACATCTTTTTGTGCATTAAGCAAGAAATTTATATGACTCTTTCTGTAAAATTTTGTTGCTAGGCATGTTTGACTTACAAGATAGAAGTAAAGACAAAAACTGGATCAGTGACAACTAACTTCATTTTTTGCATTTGTTTGAATTGTGTAAAGTGGAAAAGGGAGAAAGACCTATGAACTTATTGAGTTAAAGTTTTTTTTTTTTTTTGGATTGAAGATGGTTAATTTAAAGTTTAAACATGGTTATTAGTTATATCCTTTCAGCTCTTTCGTTTGGTTTTGACTTTTTTTTTCAATTGCGTTGTACCTTACATGACACTACTTCCAAAATTCCTGCATTTCTAGCATCTCAGTTTTAGTGCAAGTGCATATATTGAGCCCTTTTCAGCATGTATGTTAAATACAAGTTAATGGCTGATGAAAAATACTGATGGATTAAGGTTGCACATCAAGATTTTTTTCTTTTTATCTGAGTGCTTTGAGAATTACCACAAATATTAAAAGATGGCAATGGAAGTTTTTGGTTTGTTTAATGTAATTTTGATAACCCTTGAACAGTATCTCTTGAAATAGACTGAAGAATCTATAGTACTACTACAAATAAAGCTTTCAACGTCGGTTCTGGAAGGCTTTCAACGTCGGTTCAACAACCGACGTTGTATCAGGCGACCCTATGTGTGATTTAAACACAAGGGAAATTTGTTGAACATAACAGACATGTCGGATGCAACAGAAGAAGGAAGATCCCTTGCAGATAAAGGTGGAGAAAGATTTGTCTGAACAATTACAACAGACTGAGGAGGACGACCATGTAATGTATAACACTTGTTAATCTTGTGACCTAGCTTGCCACAATGTTCACACTTAGGACACCCTTTTTCCTGTTTGCGAGGGCGAGCCCAGTCATCACGATGGGATGTCAACACAAAAGAATCGTTAACAAAATTGGAAATAGTGGAAGAAGTCACGAAGAGCGGGAGAACAAACCCTAAAACAATCCAAAGTAATCCAATTAACCCACGGAGCACAAATCCAAAATGAGAATACTAAAAATAAGTTCACCAAGACTAAACGGTGCAGGAGACAATGGGACGACCAACTCCGATAGTGGTGATCTCAATGACACGGTGGTCACCTGACCGAGATAAGCAAAATCATGTCACCGGTAAAAAAAATGAAACTCCGGCAAATTCTCTGACAACGGCGGACCCGGTGACTGCTCCAGCGGCAGCGGTGACAGTAACGTGAACTAGTACACCAGGTAAGTTCCCAGGAAAGAGAGGTGGGTCACTAATGGACACATTTAAATACCAAACATGCACTTTCACACTACCAAATAAAATTCAATGACAAAGATAATTCTTTTCTGATGTGGAGGATCAGTTTACCAGCAGCGGTGGGGCGACTCCAATAGTGGACAAAAGGTGAAAAGGTGAACCGACGTTGAAAGTATGATTTTTTAAATTAATAATTTTTATTTATTTACAACCCCTTTACCCCCTTTTATTTATCTAGAAGTCTCCCCTCTCTTTATATTATATTTTTATTAGGTCCTCCATCTCTATATATTATATTTTTTAGAAGTTTTTTAAGTCTTTATATTATATTTTTATTAGGTCTTCCATCTTTATATATTATATTTTTTAGAAGTTTTTTAATTTTTTAAGAGAATTGTCATTGGCAGGATTCGAACCCAATACTTTGGAGTTGGAGGTCGATACTCCAACCACTAAACTACTTGAATTTTCCGATAATAACTTACAAATAAATTATATTTATATACAAATAAATATATATCCGTGTAAATATATAAATACAAATATATTTATATATTTTGATATATTTATATAGTTATATATTTATATGTTGGATGTGAGGGCACACTCGAAAGTGAAAGTGTGTGTCGAGTGAGTTTTCAAAATTTGATGTTAAATTTGTAAGCAGGTATCTTTATATGAGTTTGTAATTTAATGACAGAATATAATCTTTATAATTTTATTTATATAATGATATAAAATAATTTTGGGAAACGTGTTATTTGCTCTCAAGCGAAAAATACCAATTTTCGCTCAAGCGAGACTTGAGTGAGTGAATTTCCGTGAGCATTAACATATTTTCACTCAAGCAAAAGTCAATCACACTTTCACCCTCGATCGAAAAATACCAATATAATTTATTTGTAAGTTATTATCAAAAAATTATAGTAGTTTAGTGGTTGGGATATTAACTTTCAATCCTAAAATACTCGAGTTCAAATGCTATCGATGACAATTCATTAACTTAAGAGAATTTTTGGTCGAAAAAAAATAAAAATACTTTCTAGAAAATATATACAAATAAATATATATTTACATGGATATATATTTATTTGTATATAAATATAATTTATTTGTAAGTTATTATTAAAAAATTCTAGTAGTTTAGTGGTTAGAGTATCGACTTCCAACTTTAAAGTATTGGGTTCAAATCTTACTAATAACAATTTTCAAATTTAAGTGAGTTTTTGGCTGGAAAAAAAAAGACTTTCCACGTCGGTTGTTCCTCGAACCGACGTGGAAAGTGTCAATAAGTAAAAAAAAAATGACTTTCAACGTCGGTTCATATGGAACCGACGTAGAAAGTACTTCTACGTCGGTTGACTAAGAACCGACGTAGAATGTGTTTAATATTCAATTTCAACGTCGGTTCATCTGGAATCAACGTGGAAAGTACTTTCTACGTCGTCTCGGCTATAACCGACGTTAAATGACGACGTAGAAAGTATATTTTGTAGTATCGTAATTTGTTGCTTCTGTATGCATCAACATTTTCCAAATCTTAATTCTTGAATCACCTAATCTTCTTGAACATGAATTAACAACAAAACATGAGAAATATATTAAAGATAATAAGATAAAAATAATATTAATAATATGTAGCGTAACTTTTAAGAAAATATGGAGTTTTTTTTTTTTAATTTTGACCCATTATTATTTTTAATATTAATTTGATTTGGTTTAAAAAAAAAAATCAATGTAATATTTCCTAATAACTTTATTCAGTTATCTAATAATAAAATATGTTAATATTAATAATAAATATGATATTTTTTTTAACAATATGACAAAGTTAATAAAAATAATTAGGTTGATTCAATTTAAAAAAAAATCAATATAAAAAATAACAACAAAATAAAATATTTAAAAAATATAATATATACACAACACCTTCATTCATTCCATGTACCGACACATTAATTTAAAAATAAAATTTATTATTTATTTCTAATTCATGCGTTACCATTCGCTTTGACGTGCATATGTAGTTACCTTGTTTTGTGTTTTATTTTTGTTCTCCATTTATTTTATTTTTTTCTTAAATTATAAAGATAATTGTATCATGATTTATATATATATATATATATATATATGAATTATCTGTTAAAAGTTTAATTTTTTATAATATAGAAGAAGTTGTTGTTCACTAGTACTTTATCGTAGGTTTATTTTTTTCAAACGAATGTTATGAATAATATATTTTAAAAGTAAAATTATTTAAATAAAATATTTATTAATTTATTTATAATTTTTTCCTTTTTATGTTATATTTTTCTCTTTTTTATTTATTTTTCTAATTAAAAAATTATATTAAATTTTAATAAGAATATATTAAATAAATATTTTAAATTAATAATGAAACTAAAAAAATATTAATTAATTATTTAAAATTATGATTATAATAAATAATTTTATTTATTTTAATAATAAATAAATAATTTAAAATTAGTTTATAAGTAATAATTTATTTAATTAAAAATATTAAATATTTATAAGTTAAATATTTTTTATTTAATAATTTAATTTAGTTGTAATTAGATTGAGTTATGATAATTAGTTAGATTATATAATTTAAAAAATTATTTATTCAAAAATTATTTTAAAATAAATATATTTTTTAAAATAATTATAACATGACAATAACTTGTAATATTTCAAATTTATTTTATAATTTTTTAAAATATAATATGTTAAATTATATTATTTTTGAATCATTTAAATATTTTTATGATTTACTCTAACAAATTTTAATTTATTATTTTTAATTGAAAGACTCACACAGAAAAAAGAATAAAAAGAAATAAATAAAAAAATAGAAAATAATAAAATAAATAAAAAGAGAGAAAAAAATTAAAAAATAATAAAGAAAATAACTATATTATATTATAAGAATTTATTTTTCTCTTTAAATTTTGTGTAGAAATTCTAATTAAATAAATAAACTTAGAAATATTTTTTTATGTAATTTTATTTTTAAATATATTAGTTAAGAGATTGATTTTCATGTCAATGTTTTCAAATATTAACCTTTCAAAATTTAGTGAATTTTGTGTATAGGATTGTTTTCATTTTTATTCTCTCAAATTTTTTTATTTATGTTTTCTTTTATTTTTATTATTATATTTTTTAAAATTAAAAGTTAAAAGTAAAAATTTATTATTTATTTTTATTATTTTTTTATAATATAAAATTAAGATTACTTCTTTTCTATTTATATATATATATATATATATATATATATTAAGAGACAATAATTAAAATAAAAAGTTGTATTTATTATTATTAAAATATCTTATTTAATTATTATATAATATTAATGATTTTATTGAGATTTTAATTATTAATAAAAATAACTAATTTTATAGGATGAAGTCATTTTAATCATAGAAAAATTTAATTTCTAAAAAACATCACTAATAATAGATTTGTATTATTAGTTTCACAAATTTGAACAATATATAAAGTAATTATTTTTATGATGCTGAATGATATTTAAATATATTCATATTAATATTAAACTATAATTTTTTTTAACAATACTAAATTAAAAATTTAATAATGTATAAAAATAGGAAAAAAAAACATTTTGATGGTACCGGATACAATTATTTATCATTTCATAAAACATACTATATTTTACTCATGAAAATATTATCGTGTAAAAAAAAATTGGGAATATGGGGAGAAAGGAGAATGTGTCAGAAAAATAGACGATGAAGGGTTCTGCACTCGCGCATTAGTACCAAATTGGTTTCGTTGTTTCATGGATTCAAACCTGAAACTAACATTCCATACAAAAATTCGACGCGCCACTTCGTAACTGTGACATCCCCAAAGAGCAAGGTATTTTTTCGGTCTTCCTATTTTTACTAATTATTTCGGCAATGACAGCAATAAACGATTTTTTTTTTTAATTATGATTACCATCAGATGTTAATTCGGTGTTCGAAGGTGTAAGAGGTTGTCAATTCAGTCTATATGAATATATATATATATATATATATATATATATATATATATATATATATATATATATATATATATATATATATATATATATATATATATATATATTCTGGTGTGTGTAATTTGTTTTTCATTTTAGTTCACAATCGATTTATTGTTTGACATAATTGTAATCCTCTTTAAGAGCCTCCTTGAAGGGTTTAGAGTTTTTTTTTTATTGGAAGGCTCTATAGTTCTAATCAAGAAGAGTCTTTGAGTGTTTGTCTAATAATTCTATATTTCCAGTAGATATGGTCTCAGAAGCATTTTTAGCTTGTATCCAAACAGTATATCTATTTGTTTTTTCATAAGACTCACAAGATTTTTGTGTTCTTGGGTCATTTTTTCCTATATTCAGTCTTGCAATTAAGAATCTTGATTAAAATATGTCTTGAATTCCAGTTCACTCTATTTGTAGGATCTATCGAAACCTGTTTCCTATATTGCTTTGTTCATTTGAAGTCACTGAAAGTGAAAAAAAGTCATTTGCAAATATATCTGATGATATATTAAATACAGTAGTGGACTACTTACTACAGAACTCTCCATTTTGGCCAGAATTGATTGTGATGTCACAGATTGATGAAAGAGACATACATGCTTAACTCTTTGGGTAAATTTTTTTCCAAATTATTCAGTTTTTTACTTTGTTCATGCTTCTGTTTTTCCAGCTACGGTGATTTACTCATGTAGCAAATTCTAGGTTGTTGTATTTGGACTTACCATGTCTATACTGCATATCATCAATGTTCTTTATTTGGGTTTAGCATATGAAAATTTTAAAATTAATAAACTACCACTATTTGGATCAATGTGTTTGAAACAAAATTTCCAGTCTTTTGATGTTAGAGCCTTGGAGAATGATGATGAGAAAAATTTTCTAATTACAACTAAATTGATGCCCGAATCTTTTGATGTTGAAACACAATTTATTTTCAAAATGACAATGGCAGCAACCAAGCCCAAATCACTTCACGCCCCAAGTGTAACTGCATCTTACCAATGTGGTTTGAAAGACTATTGTGGTTATTAAGTGTGGTTATTAGCCCATGCTTATGCTTTATTTTGTATTTTATTTATCCCCAAGTGGTTATGATCTGCCCAATATGTTTTGTTTTATTTTCTTCAAGTGGCTGTGTTCAGCCAATGTTTTATCCAAGTTGTCAAAATTAATATTATAAGTGGGATAGTAGGAGGTCCACAAGATTGTAAATCGTGGGAGCATAATATGAATTCGTAGATTTTACCCTTATATAATATAAAATATATATTAACATAATGATAAAATAAATATCAAATCACATCTCAATATATGTAATTAAACATAATTTCATCGTAACATAAGAAAGAAACCATGTTATGAAGTAAGTTTTAAGTCATAAGAGAGAATCAAAAGTTAAATACCTAATCACTTAAGTATAAGTAGCTTAATCAAAATACCAAATCATGATGACTAAAACCTAAACAATAAAACATCTAATATAAATATTTTAAATTAAAGTCAAAAGTCAAGGGATATTCGATAGTTCCATCTCTTTCACAAAACACATTAATAAGAACATTTTGCTCCTCTAAAACGGAATGAAAAGAATATCATCCTCTTGCTCTTCATCTGGAGCTTGACCTTCATCAAAATATTTATCATCTCCATTTAAATTTGGAACATCATTGAAACCTACATTTTCATGGTCTTCTTCAACATTTTCTATAATCCACTCATCATTAGATGAAATATCATCTTTTTGTTTTGCAAAACCAAACCCAAAACTGGCTCCAATTTGATCCAATGCTTCCACAATGTCCGGCTCAGGAGACTGTCCTTTGCAAATGAATAATTTTGTTCTCTCAAGTATCATCTGTATTCTTTGGGTCCCTGTTCATCCGTTTCCTCTATTGAGTCTTTGTTTTGTTCTCTCTGAGCTATGAGGCTTCGGATGCTCTCTGATTTTATTCCAAAAGTTTGTGGATTGTGTAATTTTGGCAAACTTTATTTCTTACTATATGTTTCTATTTTCTAGTTTGTTAAAGATATTAGTTCTTTTATAATATTCTGCAGTTTCCTAGTATACATTTTGTTTATGTTGAATATAGAGAAAATAGGGTTTGAGATTAATCTCCCTTGTGTATAAACCACACGTAGGGTAATCTATTTATAATAGAGAGAAGTACAACTAAAAGAGTAAACAAAAGTAAACCGAATAATCAGAAGATATTGTTTGATATTGTGGTTAACAATATCTTAACAATATTAAACAATATCTAAACAATATCTAACATTCCCCCTCAAGTTAGAGCATACAAATCGTATGTGTCAAGCTTGTTACAAATATAATCAATTCTAGGCCCCCGTAAAGACTTAGTAAAAATATTTGTTAACTGATGACTTGAGTTAACAAACTCAGTCTTGATGTCTTCAGACATAATCTTTTCTAGAATAAAATGACAATCACTCTCAATGTGTTTGGTCCTCTCATGAAAGATAGGATTAAAGTTAATATGAAGAACAGTCTGATTGTCACACACAAATATCATTTGAGTGTCATCTCCAAATTGTAACTCTCTAAGCAATTGCTTGAGTCAAACAACTTCACAAGCAGCTGAGGCCATAACTCTATATTCTGCTTCTGTACTAGATCTTGCCACAATACTCTGTTTCCTACTTTTCCATGAGATCAAGTCACCACCAATGGAGACACAATATCCAGATGTAAATCTTCTATCCGAAGGAGATCCTGCCCAATCAGCATCTGAGTAACAAACAACTCTTGTATGGTTATTAGAACCATATAACAATCATTTTCTAGAAGATCCTTTAATATACTTCAAGATACGAATGACTGCATTCCAATGATCTTCACATGGGAAATTAAGAATTTGGTTTACCACACTGACTCTAAAGGAGATGTCAGGACGAGTAACTGTAAGATAATTTAATTTTTCAACCAATATTCTATACTGCTCATGATCAAATATAGGCTTCCCTGATTTGGTAGAAGTTTAGTATTTGGATCAATGGGTGTATCAACAGACTTTGAACTCATCAACTCAGTTTCCTTCAAAATATCCATGACATACTTCTTCTGAGATATAACAATATCATCATTGGATTGTGTCACCTCAATACCCAAGAAATATCTAAGTTTGTCAAGATCTTTGGTCTGAAAATGGTAAAGAGATGTTGTATCAACAGACTTTGAACTCATCAACTCAGTTTCCTTCAAAATATCCATGACATACTTCTTCTGAGATATAACAATATCATCATTGGATTGTGTCACCTCAATACCCAAGAAATATCTAAGTTTGCCAAGATCTTTGGTCTAAAAATGGTAAAGAGACGTTGTTTCAACTGAGAGATGTCATGGTTATCACTACCTGTAAGAACGATGTGATCAATATATACTATTAAGTAAATACATCCAGCACTCGAGTATCGATAAAAGACAGAATGATCTGTTTCACACCAAGTCATACCAAATTATTGAAGAACCTTGCTAAATTTTCCAAACCAGGTCCTAGGAGACTGATTTAGGCCATATAGGGATTTGTGACATACCATCCTAGAAGACTCCCCTGAGCAACAAACCCAGGAGGTTGCTCCATATAAATTTCTTCTTGTAAGGTAATATGTGGAGTAACCTAACATGTATTTAAACTATACCAAATGACATGAGGTAGGCAATGTGGGACTTTCAATATACCCCCTCCAACGAAGTTTGCCGGACCAAGCAAAGGGTACTTTTGACCCACAATGAAAGGGTAACTCTTGGCCCAAGACAATAATCGGAAAGATGTTAGGTTTTGGCTCTGATACCATGTTAAATATAGAGGAAATAGGATTTGAAATTAATCTCCCTTGTGCACATAGAGTAATTTATTCATAATAAAGATACAACTAAAAAAGTATCCGAGAATAAACAGAAGATATTGTTTGATATTGTGGTTAACAATATCTAAAAATATTAAACAATGTCTAAATAATATGTAACTATTTATATAATGCTTCTTACTATAACCATCATGTGCTTCCACTATTGACTGCAATGATATCTGCTGTATATTCACTCTTGACTCGTTACCGTGAGAAACTGGAATGGGTGCTTAAAAATTGTAATTCCTCTAATTTCATGTATATTATTATGCACTACTAATATTTATATATACACGAGACATACAACAAACATTTTATGTTGCAATACTGTCCTGGACTTAATTTCATCAAGCATTTATTGGGTTTTCTCATTATACTAATTGCATTAAGCATGTATAGTATCTCTGCATTGCTAGAAAATATTCTGTTTCTGAGTTCTCATATTTCAATATCCAATTCAACGCTTCATACTTGTATGATAGTTTTTTCATATGCAACAGTTTTTAAATCCTTCTCCCCCTTTTTTTCCAATATAGTTATATGCTCGATATTGTAAATTACGTTGAACCTTGAGCTTGTATTGGCATAAATTTTCTTGGTAATACCTCTAACAATACCACTTCCTTGCTTCTAGTTTTTGCTTGCATGCTTGGTGTAGTTCTTTGGCATTGCAAATTCGACTTGAAGCATAAGATTTGCTACCTAGGGCATGCCATCTTCTTAATCTGACCTATTGAAATGCTTGAGAATTTCTTGTTATAGGTTTACTTTATAAATGGGTTTCGACTTCTTTTAACTCTTGCTTGTGTAGGTTCCTTGTCCATACATTGTTCATCCATGCGTTCAAAGGATCTTATGTCACCTGGCTTCCTGGAAGGCATGACCTAAAAGCAAGAAAATGTTGTAGCAATGATGGGTAGCTGGAAACTCGTAATTGTTCCCTTAAGTCATCTCTATTATAGGTTTTCTTTTTCAATTTTTATTTTCCGTTCATATCCATGGCCTAATTTTAGACCCAAAAAACAGTCCCCATGTATATATACTTAACAATTTAAAATTTTTTAAATGTATTTATTTTTAGAACTTAACATTCGAAACTTTTAATAAAAATGTGTTTTACATTGTAAAAATTAATCAAAGTTCATTTTAAGTTAATGTTTATCATATCATTAGCATCACTATTATTATTCTAATTAGTATTAGTATATTACTACTATTCATCATTATTGATAAAATTAATATTTATTATAATCTTATCTTAAATTATTATATTCGACCATCAATAAATGTTTTCATGAAATAATTAGTATAAAAGTTAATAAATTATTATAAAGATATTTGATATTACTAGTAAAAATATCTTAACACATTTAATACATTTTAATTATTTATTATTTTTTAACCTGAATGCGTAAAATCTAAAATCTAGTGTCAAAACACAAGATAAAATGAACCAGATATTCCCAAAATTCAGAAAACTAAATCTAAAAATTGTTTTTCACATAATTTAAGTTTCGAATTTACTATTTTTAAAAAAATTGAATGAGTTTTTCAAAAATATTCATGAATAATCTTTCTAAAAATGTTCCAAGTTTTCTTAACTATTTTTACAAAATTGATTTTAGAACATTCTTGAAAATTTTTAAAATGTTATTTTGAAATATTTCTAAAAAGTTTATTCCAAAAAACTTTCGGAAGAATCAATTAAAAACGTATTTACATTAAAATAAATATTATTTTTTAAATTAACATGGAACACTAAAATTATAAATTTTTGGGTTCTAAAAATTAAGAGCCTAATAAATAAATTTGATCACCAAGTTTTTTTTTTCAACAATAATAATATTTTAATTATTAGTAAAAAAAATATTCTAAGAAATTAAAATTTATTTTCTGATAAAAATATCAAAACATTAAATAACTCGTGATTCTATTAATTAAAATTTGTTATATTCTTTTACCCACCACCTTAAAAAATATTTATATTTACCTATGATTTAAAAGTTTACAATAAAATGAAATTATTTTTTACCTATTTTTCAAACTTAATTTTTTTAATAAATGATAAATAATAAAAATTTATAATAGATAATTAAAATAGTTTTATCATAAAAATAATTTTATTATATATATATATATATATATATATATATATATATTATATTATTGTACGTATGATTTTTTTTAATAGATATGATATGACTTATGAATGTGTTAAAGTTTTATTTCAGACTAATTTGACTCCACCAAAATAAAATATATGGTAAATAATTATTCAGACTAATGATCAAAGTCGAAAATTTTGGACTCAAACACATTACTAACTCATAGGTTAATATTTTTTTCTCTTTTTTTTAAACAGAACTTGAATTGTATAAAAAAATTAATAAATAAAAAATTATACAAATAAAATATATTTTTCTTCTTCCACAAAACAAACAAAATTAACTATGTCCCCATTCCCTCATCAACATCTTACTAGCAAACAAAAACACAGTTAAAGTACAAAATGTATTCTGTGCATACAAAAAAAGTTTTAAGATTTTGTTAAAGATACTTGATTAGCCTATAATATAACTAAGATCATGTTAAATATACTTTATTAGATTATGATTTATAGAAAAAAGGGTCAATTAGTTTACCCATCTAAGATTTGCCACAAGTATTTTCTTTTCCCTTTCTCATACCAATCACAAAACTATGTTCTTCCTCTTCAAACCCATGTTCTGCTGCTCCTGGTTTTCAATTTCCCTGTCACTTCTTCTTCCATCTTACATTCAAACAAAACCATCACAAAACAACACGATTCCCCATTTTTGTTTCTTCATACACTTATTTAAGCACCATTCCCACACAAACCATTTACAAGTTACAACCTTTATTTCTCACTCAGAATCCAAATGAACATCATACTACTTCTTATCCTCCTAGCATCATCCTCTTCTTCAGTGTCCTGCACTGCACGCGCTCAGTCCCCTTCACCAGTAACCCCCAATGAAGTCACCGTCAAAGCAACCCTTCTCATGTCACTCGTCATCTTCCTCTTCGCCCTCCTCCTCACCGCATTCTGCTCCCTCTTCGTCCGCTACTTCTCCCGCCAGCACCCGGCGTTTCTGCGAATCACACGCGGACTCGACCCGCGCGTGCTCGCCACGTGCCCTGTTATGTCCTACTCCGCACTCAAACTGAATCACCTCAAGTCGCCGCAAAACGCGGCGTTGCAGTGCACGGTGTGTCTGGCGGATTTCGACGACGCCGACGCTCTCCGCCTGCTGCCGAAGTGTGGTCACGTGTTCCACACACACTGCATCGACGCGTGGCTCGCAGCGCACGTGACGTGTCCCGTGTGTCGCGGCGAAGTGAGAGCAGAAACTGAGGGGAAGACACGTGTGCGGCGCGTGTTAGAGGAAGATTCTGGAGACTTTAGGGTTTTTGTAAGGTCACATTCTACGGGCTCTTTGGATGGGTTTTCCATGAAATTTTCTGAGGATGTCGCGAAGAAGGTTCCAGAAGATGGTGAACGGATGAAGCGTTCGTCCAGTTACGACGTCGTTTTGGGGATTGGAGAAGTAAATGTGGGTAGCACTAAAACTAACAATAAGTGGGTTTTAACGATGAATCCTCCTACTGTTTCTGGAAATTCGATGATTCCGAGGTTGTGGGGTGCTTCTGTTGTTAGAGAAGAGAAAGAGTTTGAAGGAGCAATGTTTTTCCACTCTCAAGTTTGATTGAAAAAATGGGTGTTGGGTTTAGCGCTGTACATCGTGTAGGGGTTGTAAAGAGTGTTAATTTGCGGATCTTTGACCTAATAGTGTTAATTTTGCTATTAATATAGAGTTTCATCTTAATTGAATTATATAATTAGAAGTTTTTATTTTTATGGACGCTGTTTTGAAAGGGGATTGACACATATGAAAACCAGATTAACATTAATCATTGATTCTGAAGCTGCACGTTTCATCCAAAAAAATAAAAATAACTTGTGATAATTGGTAGAATAATAAAGGGGGAAATTGTTTAGAAGGTTCTTTTGCTTATGCAATGTACTATTTGTCGACATCTCCTTAAAAAATAATATTGTGAATTGACAGTGAAAGAGATTTGAATATTATCGAATGGACGAAATGGATAGAGGACAAAACTGAGTCTATTACAGCATAAAACTGTCATAATTCTTTACTCTTTTTAAGATTTTTTTTTTTAATTTTGATCAATCGATTTGAAAGATTAATATATTAACTCAGTTTAATAAGTATACTTAATAGATTTGTTTATAAAATAATTATTATTATTTAAATAAATATAAATATAATATTATTTTATTAAGAATATGTATTATAAATTAATTTGATAATAATTTATTTTTTTAAAAGTAAATATTAAATAAATTTTAAAAAATTACTTTTTTAATATTTTATAATTAATATTAATTATTATTTAAATTAATAAATTATGATGATAATAAAAATACTTTTTATTTTTTATTTTAATATTTAATTTATATATTAAATTATTATATTTAAATATATATATATATATATATAATTTAAATTTTTAAAATAATTTAAATATTTGTTTCAATTCATATTTTTATATAAATATGTTATATTTTTATTTTTAATCATACTAAAATTTACTTTATAATTTATTGATTTTAAGTTAAAAATTATGATTAATTTTAAAATATAGATCAGGTTAATTCTTATATATTTTTTAATGATCGATAAAATTTGTTATAATGAGTTGTATTGACAATTTTAAAAATATTTTAAAATTTTAATTTTAAAAAAATTATTAATTTTGTTAAGTATTTTTGAAAAAAAGTTAATAATAAAAAACCTTCTCCTACTCAACTAAATTGAGTATTAGATGATGGAATAATAAGCTCTAATATTATTATTAAATAATTTTAAAAAAATTAATATAAGAATATTTTTATAAATAAAAAATAAGTCACTTATATAAAAAAAATATAATATTACAGTGAACTCAAAAAAATTATGTACGGATCTTTTTCACTTACTCACTTTTTCAAATTCTACTCAATATGGTAGAATTTTGAACATTTTTATAATGATTGTCTCTGTACTACCAAGTGATTATTTTATTGATATATTCTTTTGAAAAAAAAAAAAAGTTACGCTCTTCTTTTTCTCTTTGGTTTATGTCAGTTTTGTTCCTATTAAATGAAGAGTAAATCTCTCTCTTTTTGGTAATTCTTTTTTCTTACTAGTTATTATATATGTGAAGATTTTTCAAAATGCTTTGCATACAACAAGTAGACAAAGACATTGATATATTTCACGTAGGAAATCTACAATGGAATAACCAACATGAGTTTTATTTTATATAATTTACTTTAAACAATTCAATCAAAACTTTGATCCAATGAAAAAAACTCACTAATTGTCCACTCAATAAATTAAAGTTTCTCTTGGTAATATGTACAACTCTTATATGTTTATTCTTCATCTTAATTTTAGTTCAATATGTTTGAATGTTAATTGTTAAATAATAAATAAATAAATATAGATACTATATGTATTTACAGTAAATTTTAATTAAACAAAAATAATTTCAAAATTAAAATAATAAATAAATGTAAAACAATATATTAATAGAATAAAGTTAAAATAATATTTTATCGAATTAAAATGACGAAAATTATTAAAATATAATTGTGAGAAATTCTAATGTAATGTTAGAAACATGGTAATAATAACTTCAAGAATGTAACTCAGTTAAGTTCATATTATCACTAAATACATTCTTAGAAGGTACTTAAAAAATAAAATAAAGTTTGATTTAAATAGAATTTATACGCTAAAAAATGTATAAGATATCCAAAAAGAAATGAAGAAAAATAGCCTACCGGTGAATTACCATATAAAAATAATATTATTTAATTTTGTTAGAATCTGATTTCACAAGTATCTTAGAAAAGATTGTCAATAATTGTTCATGTGTCTCATCTGATGAAGGTTTACGTGTCCAAATGTTGGTTAAGTGTCTTGTACTGTGAGGTACAACCTCTCATATGTGGCATTAGAGTAGTGCATGAGTAAAAGATATTTTGACTTCTACCTTCACATTATTATGATGGATTCAACAACTACTTCCACGCCAAATGCGGTTCAAAAATCGGGACCAGGAGAAACGTGACTTGGTCCCTGGAAGTGACTGAGAGAGACTAGGGCGTGTTTGGTAATGCCAAAATAAGTAGAAAAAGAGTGATTTTTATATGAGAAAGAAAAGAGTATAGTAGGACTTGTGTTTATAAATCTGAATTATTTTTGTTTAATTTAAACAGGACTATGGTAAATAATAATATTTTCTTTTCAAATATTTATAATAATAATTAATGTATTGCTTGAACATAAAATCATGATATGATATTTAATATTTAAAAACAACTTCGTACATCATTCAATGCTATGAGTGGAAGTTTGAGATCTCCTGAACATGCAAATGGACCCATCATCTTCAATTTGTATTATGTTGGTTTAGTTTCTAAGAAATAATATAATAACGTGGTCACATGACATGATCTAAAATCTGAAACGTGATTGGTTAGAGACATATGAGTATGAAATTGTTTTATAAAAACAAAAAGTGACATTTTTCTTTTTGTTGAAACGGAGAGCCTTAATCCCAACCAAAAGATGTGTTAATAATTACGAGGGAATCAGACAAAATATAAAGGGAGTGACAAAAAAAAAGGTTTTATATTCTGATTATAAGAGAAAGAAAGTGGTCTTACAAAGTTTTATAATATATTTTTTTTTTACTTTATCTAAATGTCTTCATCAACAAGTCAGAAATACTCAAATTAAGTAAAACATATAAGATAATAAATACGTGTTATGTTAATTATGTATATTTTGAAAAAAAAATCATATTTATAACATTTAAGTGAAATTTTGACTATATGACTATCGATCATATAATTTTAATCACATAATTAGTATATAATATTTTGATTATTTCTATAAATAAGATTGTAAGGTGTATCTTTATAGGTGTATTTTTTTATTATTATTCAGTAAACCCTAAATCAATAAATTTTAAAGTGAAAATGTTGTAAATCACCATGTTTAAATTTATTTATTGATCTTAAAGTTATTTATTATTATAATTTTTCTAAAAATAAAAGCCTTCTTTAGATATTAACTATAGAAATCACAAATAGTATAAAAATACCCATATTTATATAATAATAAATAAATATATTTTTACAATTAAAATAAAAATAAAAATTTAATCTTTTAATAAGTAACATGAAATTGTTTAGTATATTCCCATTTATTTGAGTTAGAACACAGGAAAGGAACAATTGAAATTATTAAAGATTTTATTAAGAATTAATTATGTTAGTATATGATTCATATTTTTTAAAATAAAAAGTAAGAAGATGTGGTATAAAACACTCAATTTTGTCCAAATAAATAAATAAAAGAAAATTTATGACTATCTTTATGTTTTTAAAGAAAATTATGTTTAAAAATTTAGAGAGAGAGAAGGGAGTAGTGAGACAGCAAAAGAAACTTAACAACCCTATTGAAAAAGGCACAATGAGCGTAGAGAGAAGGAGGTTGTGGAGAACAATTGTGAAAGGTAGTATAACTAGTGAGTGACCTAATATTGTTCCAACAAAAACGAGTCACACCTATGATGCAAAATACATAAGTACTAGGTAAGGTATCCAAAAACAATACTTATACTTATCTACAATAGCCTCGTTCGATTCGTTAAAGTGGCTTAGAACATTTTTTTAATGAGTTAAACATGGTTTGATAAAAGTGATTTGTTAAAAAGCTTATTAAAGTTATGTGCAGATGTTAATGAGAAGAATGAAATAGAAGGGTAAGAAAAAGGGAAAAATTGTCCACCCTTTATCAGGTGAATGTTGTATTTATATAATTTATTATATATATATATATATATAAATTATTATTCTCTATTTGTTATGGATTAACATTAATCAATAAATTAATTTATTTGTAATTATCAATTATATTACACATCATCATTTATGTAAATAATAATTTAATTTGGGTTTCTGATGAACGGTCAGTGATGGGTTGGATCGTTCGGAATCGATTACTTATTGAGAGATCCTGGTCTCTGCGATAGGTGGATAAAAGCGATACCCCATTAGTCGGTTTAACGTGTGACAATATAATCACTTTAGATACTACGTTCAAAGCACCCTATCGAAAGAGAGCAACATTCTCTCATAAGCATTCAATGGATTCTTCAACAATTCCAGGTACACAATTTTGAATATATTATATTTATTGTATCTAATATTATTATGTATTTTAAACAATTGGTATCGAGCCAAAAGATACGAGAATATAATTGTTCATTATTTTTGTAGAGTGTATCATAAATTTTAATAATTATTCATTATCAGAAAGCATGAAAATTTAATTTTCTCGTTTGAGTTCAAATTAATTGAATAAGGGGCGAATTTCAAAATTCTTTCCTGGAGCGAGAGAACTCTAATTATAAAAAATTAAAGTTTTTTGTTCTGTTTTACCCCTAAATGCTGTAATCGGAGGTTGAACCCTAAATTTGCAATCAATTTTTTTTTGAAACCTAAATGCGCAATCGGAGGTTTTTCCCTAAATCTGCAATCAAAGGTTTTACCCTAAATCTACCATCCTTTTAACATGTTTTGAATCAAACCTTTATATTATCAATCTCTGTAACAATGATGGGCAAA